ATTTCAATAGGTTTAAATAATGAAATAAAAGGGGAAAATTCTGATTGTTTTTAAAGTAGGCAACCGATGCTATAATGAGATCAGATTGTAAAAGAAGAAACATCGACTTTTTTTTTTTTTTTTTCTGTAGAAAATTATAGCGAGAATGACCTAAAATTCAAACAGCCTGACTAGATTCTGAAATTTCGAACAGAAAATATAGTATTTAGTACTTTATTTTCTTCTGTCATGCTCTGTTAGTAAATAGCGATGGGAAAGAAACTCACATTTTACATTCGCGATGAAAATGAACTCTAAAAAAATTCTGCATCTTTACTCTTTTTATACTTTGAATGCAAGGATATTGGCTACTTAAAAGAATCAGAAAGAAATTTCGAAACTGCAGTAACAACAGTTTGCGTTAGAACTGTCTATAAAAAACTGCTGCAAATTAGCGGTGGTTCAAACTGTACCTTTCCTGTTTATGATAATATTGCTGTCGAAACGTATCAAAATGCGATTAAGAAATGTTTAGGATAAAACTTATATATCACATAAAACCTGTAAAGTTATATTTAAAGCACTCTGAACAAATAAAACATGTTTTTAACCATTCTGCATTAGCTATTTAACTACTGCAACTAAAGCATACCTGCGTAAAATTTAAAATAAGTCCAAAAAAATTTGAATTTGAGTAGCATAAGAATATAATTCTTTAAAAGTTTCAGATATATATCCCTTTTTTTCGACAAATGTATATCCTTTCATTTTCCGACAAATGTATATCCTTTTATAATGTATTTAATATATAATTTTCATATATATCCCTTTTTTTCATCCATGGAAAAATTTTCAAAATTTTAAAATCAGAAATCTTGTCTTGCTTCACTATAATGGTGCTGCCATCTAGTAGCAGTAAGGAAACCTAATCTATCATAGTTCCTGGGGATGGAAAAATTTAACGAAACAAAAAACATATAAAGTATTAGAATTTTGCAAAATGTTACCGAAAGAATGAATTAGAATAAATGGCATCAACTAAAGAAAATAAAACCTATTTTGAGTATGAAAACCTTCAAGAAAATCCACTCAGCCAACTACATTGGTTTGACTTGTAGAGTCTAGAGTAACTCTATATATTAATCTAAACTCTACAAGAGTTAGAGAATATCCTTATATGTAGAGATTACATTTAGAGTTTGACTTGTTTTGGTAGCACAAATTGGTATGAAACCTTAACATATTTATAGCGAATAGTTGCTTCGTGTGGAAGAACTAGACGCTTGAAAAGTTTTAAAACAACCTTTTATTAAATCTAACTGGAACATAAATGTACGACTTATGGTTACAAATCAGCCAACCACTTGTGGCGATGAAACTTAAGTATCGATAAATTCGAATTTCAAATTAAATGTAAATCTAGTAGCCAAAAGCTACAGAATTGATTTAACGCGAAGTTGGCTCAAACTTCTCACCGGCATAATAAATTAAATGTCGGCAATTATAATGCAAGACCAAAGAATAGAATCTTATCTGAGCTAGCAGAAACCTAGTAATATGGCCTCGAGAGGCAGAAACATGTTCTGTATTAAAATCTGACAACTTAAGCTTAAATACTCTGAAACTAAATTGCAATCTGGAGGGAAACGGAAGCGAGAAGTAACAGTAAAGATCAAAACCAGAAAATAACTGGTTATTCAAAATACCAGTAATCTTACAATGCTCAACCCACCTTTTCAAGAACATTTGCTCTTGAGTTGCTTTTTTGCCTAAGTTTTAACAGATAAATGCCTTAGGAACCTATATATCTAATAGCTAAGTTAAACATGAACGAAAATTTTCGTATTGTGATTGGAAATAATAGTACCGCTTCGAAATTTTAGAAAAAAAAAGAAAAAAAAAAACCTCTTAAGTGTGATGCTTAATTATCCTTAATATGAAAATGAAACGAAAAATATAATGTCACCACACGACTTCCTTCTACGGCTTATTCAATTATATTCACTTTTTACTGCACTTTATTTAAACTTAATCCTCGAATTATTCTAACTTAATTAGCCGATCCCTCAAGGTAAGTTGAAAAACGACATCAAAAATTGAAATTATTGGAATTAAATATCTTGGTCAGTTTTTTGTCATAGAGTCAAACTTCTTATAATTTTAATTTTCATAAAGAGTTCAAAACTTTCTCAAATATAAGTATAGGAATCGAAAGACTACATTAAAAGTTAGATTTCGTTATTTATCGAAAGTTAATTTTTTTTATTTGACATTTGACATTGCCGAAACGTGAATATTTTCGTCATTCAAAACACTTCTGTAATTGGAAATATATGATTACAACCAACGATTGTGAAAGTAAAATGACTAAAAAAAAAATCTAAAGCTTTTTTTAAATAAAATAATAATAAAATATATAATTTTTTTATATAAATAATTTTAAATGAAAAGATATTTTATAAGACTGGAAAATAGCGTTGTAAGTAATTATCGAGTACTTTTGAAGCACCCTTAAAATGTGAAGCTGCGAATTGAATTTAGGGGATTACCAATATCTTAAAAATAAGTTCATTTTATTTTGCATTACTAAATTATATCAAAATAATGTACGAAAACTGAACAAATGAAATTTGTCTTGAAATACTTACAATTTTAGTATTTTGGCGAATTTGAAAATCAGAAATCTTGTCTTACTTCACTATAATAGTGCTGCCATCTAGTAGCAGTAAAGAAACCTAATCTGTCATAGTTCGAAAATGTAATGAGAGCACATTTATGTTAATAAAACCTATACTCTGAGTTATGTATGTATGTTTTATGTTTTTATAAAATGCAAACTGTTATTTTAATATATATAATATTAAAATATTTCAAGTTATTCAGCGTGGAAGTTTCGTTACGAAAGTTTTCTTTTTATGAATGCCGCTAAGTTATAGTGCTGCCATCTGTTAACGAACAATATAAAGTATGGCTGCTTTTTTTATTTTATGATTGTATCTGGAGTGTCATAATATAAATACAAAAGAGGAAATAGAGTATTATACTCAGTTTCTTATATTCTTTGAAATTTATAATTTTAAAAGAAGAAATTTCTTCGAAAATATTCGGATTATTCTTTATTTTCTGTACAAATTTTTAAAGGATTTATATTGGTATTTGAAGTGAGCAAATTGATGATTTCATTCATAAATGAAATTAAGTGTGTACTATGGCTATGACTTCAATTTAATATTTAAAAAATTAGTTATTTTTATTACAGTTCTAACTTATACGTGTAATTCGAAATTTTACTCCGAGTTATAATGAGTTTTAATTGTAATTTTAATGCAAATAATAATACTACCTTCTCTTTCATACAGTTGAAAAAAAAAGATTGGTAGTGTAATTTGTATTTTTCCCCTGAAACTGCACTCAAAATACTCGTGGTATATCAGTTCGTTTCTGTAACTGACGTATGCTGCAATGTCTTTTTATAAATATTACGGAATTTTTTTAAATAGCATTATCTACAGACCAAAAAACTTATACATAAACGCTCTATGTATTTAGGACTTAAATTTACTATAGTGCAAATTTTAGGAATTATCTAAGATTTTTCAAACATACGATTTTTCCAGAAATACTGAATAAATTTACTAATTTCAGGGGGGGGAGGGTACCAATTTCTTTTTTAACATTTATTTTCAAATCCAGATTATTTTTACATTTAAATCATTTTTATGTTGCTTTTCATTAGAATTTCCACAAACATACCCTGCTGTGTTATTCTGTTTTCAAATTCAAAGCAAAACTTTGAATTTCGCTGAATTTCTGTGATGCACGGAAAAGTGGTTTCCGAAATTACATAAAATCGCCGTTGTTTTCCTTTGAGTGAGGGTAAATAATTTTGATCCCGAAAAATCCCTTTTAAAAATGTCCTATTTAATGAAGGAAATCTGTGTAGGAACAATATAATGTAACCTTTCAGTTAAGCCATAATCTTAATCTAAAATAACGGTGTTGATTGCGTTTCCAGATTTAGGTTTATAAGTATAAATACTAGTTAAAGAGTGTGAAATATAATCTTGAATTAAAAGAAGGAGTATGTAACTTTAATAATAGTAATAGTAGCAAGAGTGTGATGACGGGATGTAGTTCGTGAAGGAACATATCAAGGATTTCATTCAAGAATAGTGTTGAATGAAATCCTTGATATGTTCCTTCACGAACTACATCCCGTCATCACAGTCTTGCTACTATTACTATTACTATTTAGCTATATACTCGCTCTCTGCGCATCTGGTTTGTTTCTGTTAAGGAATTTCGCGGTAAAAACTTTTAGTGACATCATTAATGTAAATACCAGACCAAGAAAATAGCGAATTTTGCATTTTACCCATTGATAAAATTACTGACCTACATTGTTGTTAACCATATGTTATCCTATTTATCACTATTTCTCGTGGAGTACTAGAATTCCAATTGAAAAACACTAGTCTAAACTGTGTCATAAGGTTTTGTTTATTCTTTTTTCTTCACGGATTGAATCAATTAAAAAAATTTTGCCATCTAAGTCCAAATTATGTATTGATCACCAGCCGCCGAGGTGTAAAGGCGCTGGACATTGGTAGTTCAGTTCAGGGAATACACTGTTCAGGGTTCGAATTCTGGCGAATTAGTTGGCTGTATGGACGTTTTCGTGATTTTCCCCATGTGTAAGATTTAACAAGCCAATTTTCCTTAGAAAATCATCCAAGAAGGCATCTCTCCCTATAAGGTATTTCGCCCGCCTTCTTAGCATGCCTTCGTAGTGTAGTGGTCTGCATGCTGGGCGCGTATTGCTAAGTTTTCATCTTTCTTGCTTTCAAAAATAAGCTAATGTCTCTACCTCCCCTTAGGCAGATAGCCCTCGAGTGCTTTGCTGTAATCAAATAAACCAAACCAACAAAGTTATTAACTAGTAAAATCTTGGTCAAACTAACTCAAAATAAACAAAATACTTCAGCAAACAGATTTATTTATTTGTATTTTTACCTCTCCAGAGTGCTTCAGCGACATCGAGTACCACGCCTGCAAGTCCCAGAACGAGAGTAACGTCTTCAACTTCAGAACTTGTTACAACAGTACCTATGCCGCTGTGAATAACCTGAGTGACATTCCAGAGTCCGTGAGGATATCTGCGCCAGAAGAATATTTGAAGTAAGTGAAAAATATATTCCCTTTCTTAAGCTTGGAAACAATATTCTTGTTTCATATTCGTATTCCTGTCTGCGATTTAAAGCAAACTCTGGAAGGGAAAGTTATAACTCTTTCACTGCAAAGTCCCGCGAAACGCCCGTGCATTCAGATATCTGCAGATCGCCCTGACGCCTGCGTCTCTTTTCTACCTGGCGCGTCCTCCATCACCTTAACGCACGGCTTATTAGTTTCGGGAGTTTTTAAATGGCATGCCAATCATTCTTTTGAAGCGACTAAAAATAGCGCTATTATTTGAATGCGTCTTCCGTCTCCTTTGTTTAGCGTCAACCTTTAGTTATGGATGCTCGCAGTCGTAATTCTGTCGTAAAGGGAAACTGCACGCATTGGGTGATACCGCACAAAGATCTTCAAGAGAGAAGTTATCGCTTCGCTTAAGCAGGTCCTTATTAACGCTTATAGCACTCCTCGAGAAATAGTGATAAATAGGATAGCATATGGTTAACAACATGTAGGTCAGTAATTTTATCAGTGGGTAAAATGCAAAATTCGCTATTTTCTTGGTCTGGTATTTACATTAATGATGTCACTAAAAGTTTTTACGGCGAAACTTGACATGGAGGAACGGAAATCCATTCTAACGAAAAATAAGGGCATTTGAGATGTTTGAGAGGAACAGGTTTTGGCCTCTACCTATACGAATGATTCAAATCTAGGCTTCGCAATTTATTAATAAATAAACCTATGAACAGCTTTGCACTTTTGATTTGACTCTGGTCTCAAATCTGACTCAATTTTAAATGGCCTTGCAATTTTATTGCCTTGCCTCGATCAGAATGGATCTTCTAATCAGTTTAATGATTAGCGGTGATCAGTTACCATGCCAACTGGCCTGGATTCATATCCAAAGTAAAATACGAATGTTTATGATATCTCATTGGTATCTTGTTATGTCGCTTTACAAGCAAAATTCCTGATAATGAAACGGGAATATAACAAAGGGTTCTGCCAATATCGCCTGAAGATTGAAATAGATTATGTCGATTACCAATTAGACCATTCATCGGTAAATACGAAATCGGCAGCTGCCGAATGGTGAATACGAAATCGGCATGGGAAAGAACAGCTTCCCAGTAAACATCTTGACTATTTTTCATCAACCAGTTTGAAGCTCATATGCTTAGTTTGCCCATTTTGTGCTGTTTTAAATTGTATCCAGTACAATTTCAATTGCTTATTATGTTAATTACGTTTCTTCCCTTTATCAGCCATTACATGCTGGGAAAGTCAAAGAGTTTTGCAGATTATGGTACAATACAATGGCCTTTGATGTTGAGTCTTCTGGGAGCGTGGATCGTTGTTGTATTAAGTCTTCTGAAAGGCATCAAGACATCCGGCAGGGTAAGCCAAAAAAAATTTTTGATTTCCCATACGATGCAAAAATAATGTTTGAGTTCAAATAAACTGCAGGCATACAGGGTGCGGCAGAGTTCATAGCGTAATTTGACTTGCGTAGTACAATGACGAACTGCATGAATGCGTGCTGTACTAATGAGCTGCCATTTCGAGTGTGACAGTGATATGGATTGGCGGAATGCACAGCATCGTGCCTTTGCTGTAGAAAGTTATTTCAAGAATAACTACTCTCTTATTGCTACCCAGCGTCTCTTTCGGCAACATTTCAACTTGGGACGTCATGGGAAAGTTCCAGATGGACAGACCATTGCGACAGACATTTCCAGGTAGAGTAATTTCCCGTTTTGGTGACATTTCCTGGCCGCCTCGCTCACTCGATCTTTCATGTGCAGACTTTTTCCTTTGGGGCCACCTGAAGCAAGACGTTTTCCGAGCACGTTGTGCCACCATTCCTGAGTTGAAGGATCGCACCAGAACTGCCATCGTCAATGTCCCAGGGAATACGTTACGCCAAGCTATGGCAAGCTTCCAACGCCGGCTAGATGAATGGGTTGTGCAGATGGGGCATCATATTCAAAAAGTAATCCACGCAATGGGCAATGACTTACACATTAGTAAATGGCATACCTTTAACTATCAATTGACTTAAGAGGTGATAAATAAATTACAGTTACTGCCTTACGGTGTGTTTTTAATATCCTACTATGAACGCTGCCGCACCCTGTATGAGCATGGGTCATTATATAAATGTAATGATTAGTGGATCAAACTAGGTGGCTTAAATTATATACAAAAACCATAATAATAATGTTTGAATTCCAATAAATTGCAAACATATGAGCATGGTCATTGCTTAAATGTAATCATTAGTGGATCAACTTGTCTAGAAAAAAAAATAGCTCTTATGTTTCTAATCAAATTTGATGTTCCTGCATACACTTTGTGCACTCTGCCAATGCCTGCTAAATATATTTAGGAGGCAATGACTCTGCACAACAAAAAATGGGACAATTCTACGTCTCTTGTTCTACTGGACCGACTGACGAAATTTAATTTGCGTTTTTAATGTCTCGAAAGCGCGACTCGGGTTATACATTAGATTTATATACAGCACTACTCTAACATCATAAGTATTTTGGCATAACTTCGGATTTTCGGAAATGACGTAGAGATTTTTTTTTTTTTTTTCATATTTCAATTCTACGACTCAACTGTGTCTAATTGTTAAATTTTGCAAAATTTCGTGAAGTACCTTACAGAGAAATTTAAAAATTTATCCCGGCGCATTTTTTTCAAACTGTGCCAAGAATAATTCACGTAGCAAAATTATTAATTTATGGTAACCTAGTTTCCTTTCCCTTTCATTGTGCACAAGCTGAAAAAAAGGTGTGCCGTTCATTCAAGTAATTTTATAACAAAGTGCGCAAAAAACACGTTTGGCGTAATTATCGCTTATAACAAATATGCCAAATTTAAAAAATAATACATAAATTCAGGTATACCTTCAAAAAATTTGAATAAAAAAACTTTAATTTTTGCAGGTGTGCCTAGAAATACATCTGCTTAAAGGCGATGGTAAACATTTATAATCGAAAAATTTTTTTAAACTTATAAAATACTAAAAAATACAAATTAAAAAAAAAAAAAACATCTGAGAATTTTATTTCGAATGAACCTAAATTTCGAACTGGGAAAGAAGGTATCAAGGAAGTTCAAAAAAAAAAGATATTAATAAATACACGTCAAATTCAATTAACACTGAGAACTAAAATTTTGAGAGCTAATTTTTGAAAACTACTCGTGCGATTTTTACGAAACTGTCACTTTGGCATAACTTTAGTCGCAGAATTGAGATATGGAAAAAAATCAGCATGTCATTCCAAATAAGTCCGATTACCTACGTTAGAAAACCGCTATATAAATGTAATATATACCCCAAGTCGAGCTTTCGAGACAAGAAAAACGGATTATAAATTTTGTCAATCGGTCTAGTAAAACGGGAGATACAGAGCTGTCTGTATTTTTTTTGGGGGGGGGGAGTCAGAGTGTACATTATCTTTATATATATATATATATATGTAAAGACAATGTGCACTCTGCCTATATATATGAGACATATATATATATATACATGTGTGTGTGTGTTCATATGTAAAAAGGCTAAAGGATAATTTATAAAATTCAACAATGTTCTTTGCTATCTAGTAAGATATAATGAAATGATCTACTGAATTGTATATTTCGTCCCATAAAGATAACCCGAAATGACGAAGCATAGTAATAAAAGCAGCAAGGTTTTGAAGATTAATTATATTTTTTGCTGAATTTAAACCTAATACATCAAAAACAACTTTTTTGCTTTTTATTTTAGACATATACTTCATAACAACCATAAAAAGGGAAAAGATAACGATAATTCTTGAATGACTTTTAAATTATTTTCTTTATTTTAAGTTAAACTAAGTGGGTGTCTTTATTTATCGTTTAAAAAATTTCTTCCATTTTATAATAAATTCTTTATTCTAAAAAAAGATATATTAATAAATTAATGAATTTTATGAAAGAATAACAAATATTTTGTTTAGGTAAACATTTTAGGAAAGGTATAAAAGAGTTCTTTTAGTTCTTTCTATTATTTCCATTTTTCTGTGAATATAAAAAAATTATAATAATATTTATTTATTTTTGAATGAATTTATTATTGAGAGATTATTTCTGATTTTGCAAAAAAAATTGTTAATTCTGGAAGGGAAAAATTGGCTAACTTAACGGATTTCATAAAAGGATATGAGTAAAAAGATAGATTTTTCCCAAATTATTATTCCGTGTTTTCTTTCGTAATTTTTCGTGAATCATGAAATTTAGCGCTTCTTTTCAGAAATCCTATTTCGTAACACACTTCGAGAACAATTTTTTTTGTCTTTGAAAAATTGTTCTGAAATATTTTTGCTTGGAAGCATAAACTCTGACGATTTTATGTTTGAATTTTAGATTGCTATGTATTTTTGCCGCGGTGTGTAAGTTATCATTGAGTTTTTTTTTCTTTTTTAAAACTATTATTTTATTTTCGCACAAATTTAAGGGAAAATGTTGATACACCCAAGTTAAACCAAGCATTAATTAATGTTGATATACTTAAGTTAAACAATAATAGCTTTTCATATACAGTCAACTGCAAATTAACTGCGAGTGATAGATTGACCAAGGACATTGTCCACGGTTAACCAAAATTCACGACAAATTCGAGAATTCGAGGACAGTTAAAAAGCAGCCAAAAAAAGAATACTCCCTATTACAATCAGCGCACAAATAACTATTATTAACTAAACTCTATTTTCCCAAAATTAAATTTGAATCTGGATCATAAGTTAATTTTTGATAATATTTCTGTTTACACTATCATCATACATTAAGTACATCATATTACATCAAATTCAACATATTTTTATCATTACATCAAGTTCATCACATTTTTGTTTACACTATGTTTATATTTCTGTAGGAGTCAATGTGAAACAGGAAATTTATTTTTACGTTTGAACAATTTACTTTTAACAAACGATTTAACAATATTTACGTACTTCGGATAAGTGCAATTAAATTATAAAGTTACATACTATTGTGGTAAAAACAACTTTCAAATACTTTAATTAATTATCAATGCTGTTATTCTAATCATCTTTCTTTTTTGGGGGGGAAGCTTTACCAATCCAAAAGCTCGAATGTGTTTTTTTGCAGAAATCCTTTCGAAATTAAAATTGTTATAAGTAAAAAATCTATCAAAATATTATTAAGAGGAACAAATTATTTCTAAATGACTTACTTTGTTACATTATTAGGCAATGTAGTTTTAAAATTTAACGTTTTGGCAACAGCTTCATTTCTTTCATTGGTATGTAAAAGAAAATAATTTAAAAGTCATTCAAGAATTCATTCAAACATTCTCCAGTTTAATAAATTAAATTTTCTTAACTCTCAATATTCATCGAACTTTTTCAGATTTACGTTTGGAATTTTTTTTTTTCACTTTCCAAGAGTTTTTGAACATTGCTTTCAATTCTATCCTCTTCGCTCAACAAATGACGATTTATAATCTGTATATTTTGCTCATTACGTCAAAATATTAATCTTAAAATAAAGTAAAATTTAACAATTTTCGTTCTTCGTTTGGTGTTGGACTTTCCCATCATAAATTGGCTAATACAGTGCTTAAAGAAGAACAAAATGTGCTTATTATTTAAATTATAACGCTAATTATGAGGCACCAATATTCTGAATAGAACAAAAGAAATAGATAATACGTAACTGAAACCATGAGACACCCCAAATGGGTTTGACAAAAATTAAACTTAAGTGTTATACAATCAATAAAAACCTTTCCGTAGCTATATTTATTAATTTTAAAATATTAATAAATGTATGAATAATCAACATTTAATAAATATAATGAAGTTTTAATTTATATGCATTTTTATAGGATACTAAGCTGAAATTTTCAGTTTTCAATTTTATTTAATTTCGGGCGGCCCAACCGGAATAGTCGTTAGTGACTGTGACTGTCGTACCGCAAGACCGGGTTCGAATCCTGGCGAATGCATGGATGTTTTGTAAATGTATAGTGTCTGCGTAGCATGGGACACCTTAATTATGCGGCGAGCCGAATGTCTTCTCGAGGGCCTGATAGCAGGAGCAGAGGGGTGGGAGACCCTCGGACCCGTCTTTCCGTGAATACTCTCCTTCAAAGTGGGGGGGGGCGAAACTGAGTAAAGTCTTACTGCCCCCTGAATGGTGTCCAGGGCTCTCGCCAACGACAGACGCGATCTTGCCTCCTCGTCACGATGAATTTCGTGGATTTGATTTGATATCAGACAAGCGAGATTAGTCATAATAACAACAACAACCTAATTTCGGAATGCAAATTAAATAAAACAAAATGAATATAAAGTGATGAATTCTCACATGGATAAAAAAGGAAAAATCGAGCTATAGCGATTGAGAACCAATAAAATAGTACAATAATATAAACTAATTATATCTTTTATAAATTCATTATTATTACATTAACATATTATTATATTGTTATGATTATATTTTAGGTGGTGTATTTTACGGCAACGTTTCCTTACCTTATACTGATCATTCTGTTTATACGTGGAGTTACGTTAGAAGGTGCTTCTGATGGAATATATTTTTACCTTGTGCCAGACTTTTCCAAGCTTATGCACGTCACTGTAAGTTATTGTTTCGCTTTTAATATTATTTCTTTTATATTTATGTAGGTTCCAACGTCGAAATATGAAAAAATGGAAGTTTACGCGCTGCGCAGGAGACGCCATTAAATAAAAGGGGGGGGCGGAGGAAGAATATCTGAAATGTTTCAGGTTTTAAATTACGTCCAAAGGGGGCGTTTTTTTAACATTTTGTGTGTTAAATTTATTTATTAAATATCACATTCTTCGCACTTAAACCATAAAATTCAGTTCAACAGCAATATCGCAAAATAGTTTTAAAATGAGCATATCTTTAGAATTTCCAATACAGAGTCTCACGCGCTGGAGATAAAATGTTTTTTCTGTACAGCGTTGCCATTGCTCGCTTTGAAATCCTTCAGTTTATTAATCAAAAATTCGCTAAAGCCGTACAAAATAGGAAATCAATAATAAAACAAATTCCAAATTTCACATTTGGTGTTCCGTATTCGTAGGAGGATTACGTCATTTAAAATTCGATGGATCTATGTACCGTTGTTTTATCACAATGCGAGAAGTATATATACATTTATGCAGATTTGTCATTATTTAATTTTTTTAAATATAAAACAGGGTGATAATACTTTGTGGCAACCGTTTGAAAAGTGATTCGCCGTTTGTAGTGAATCAATGCAAAATCCCAAAACGAAAACAATAGTTCTTCAAGGACAAAGGCCCTTTTGAACTAAAAAAACTCCATATTGGCTTAATTAACTTTGATATGCATGATCCAGGTCAGCTAAATATTTATAACATGGTTCTGATATAAAATATATTAATATTAATCTTAATTTCTAAATTCTGTGTTCTTTGGCAAATTTCATTTTGTAATTCTTTTACACTTTTATACTGAGAAAATCCCGAGTAGTAAAGGGAAGCTTTTATTTGTCAAAGACCTTGTAAATATCATGAAAATAAAATTAATAATTAATGTACACTCTGAAAAAAAGAAAAGAAACAGTTCTATACCTCCCGGCGAAATTTAATCTGCACTTTTTTATATCACGAAAGCGTGACTTAGCATATAATCAGATATATTACATCTACATATAGCATTACTCTAATATAGGTATTTTGACACAAAACTAGACTCTTTCTGAAATGACATACCGATTTTTCTCCATGTTTCGATTACAGGACACAAATTATGCCTAAATATTGAATTTTGTAAAATTTGGTGAGAAATTTACCACGAAATTAAAATTTATCTCGGCGCACTTTTTTTCAGTTTGCCCCCAGAATAATTCACTAGGCGAAATTCTTAATTTATGGTAACCTATTTTTCTTTCCCGTTCACTGCGCACGAGCGGTGGCTAAAAAAAAAGTGTATCGTTAATTCTTTGAAGGGCCCACCAGCGGCCGAGCGGTATTTTGACTAATTTCTAAAAATACCGCCATATTACGATTCCATATTACGATTGTATGTAAGTCGCTGAACACTGGTAGTTCGAATCCCGCGAACGGGCTGGCTGCATGGGCGTTTTCGTGGCTTTCCCCATGTGTAACGTGTATACGAGCCAGTTTCCCTTAGAAAGTCCTCCACGAAGGCATCCCTCCCCTTAGGCAGATAGCCCTCGAGGCTTTGCCGTAATTAATAACCTAACCCAACCTAATTCTTTGAAATAATTTTAACAAACTGCATAAACCACGTTTGATCGCTGATAACAAATATGTCAAATTTTGAAACGCGCCAATATAAATTCACGTATATCTTGGGAAACTTGGAATAAAGAACTCCAAATATGCCCTAGAATTTTTTCCAGATATGCCCTAGAAACACACCTAATATAAGCTGATGGCAAACATTGTACGGGTTGAGATTTTTCAAAATGTTTTTCAAAAAATTTGTAAAAATTACTAAAAAATACAAATTTCAAAAATAAATCAGAAAATACCTGGGAATTTTTTTCGATTGAACTTACGTTTCGAGCTGTGAAAGAAGGGATCAAATAAGTTTAATAAAAAATGAAATATTAATAAATGTATCCCATTTCAATAAACATAGAGGAGCTAAAACTTTGAGTGCTAATGTTTTGAAACGAGTGGGATTTTTAGAAAAGTTGGTACTTTGGAATGATATGAGTCTTAGAATCTAAATATGGGAGAAAAAAAGGAATGCTCTTTCAGAAAAAATTTTTTCCAATTTTGAGTCAAAATACCTATGTTTAAACAAAGTTATATATAAATCTAATATATGTGTTAAGTCGAGCTTTCGAGACATGAAAAACGCAAGTTAAATCGGCCGAGTAGAACGGGAGATATAGAACTGGCCTTTTTGGGGGGAAGAGGGCCCAGAGTGTACATATTATTAAGCAGATGAACTAGTAATATCTTTATATATATAAGCAGCTTAAGTGTTTATCGCCGATAATTTATTGTTGCCACTCGGAAAAATGAGCGCTGAAATTAACGTTTCCGAAGTTTTTAATTAATATCTCTGATTAAAGTCGTACGAAGATGAGAATGGTATCAATGGATTATGCGAATTTTTTCGAATCCGAGGATACGCGTCTCGAATTTCAGCTCGACGGCGTTCCGTAAATATTCGAGAAAAAAAGAATTTGGCACCTCGCCAAATCCCTCTAATACGGAAAATCCATGAAAGAAAGTGGAAAATGTAGGGAAAACGTAGGGGAAAATTAGTTTTTAATTAATATCTCGGCTAATTAAAGTCCCACGAAGACGCGAATGGTCAAAATGGCGTGCCACGGACCTGCGGAATCCACCGGTGTGCTTCGCTAAGCCCGGGAGCCAGCCGTTTCGGAGAAGATGATGTTACTTCACCCCATATATATATATGTGTGTGTGTGTGTGTGTGTGCGGTTTAAGTGTCTGCTTGTCGCCGATAGCTTATTGGTTGCTTGCGTAACTGTACTAGCCAATGGGGTGAAATTGCCACGGCACAGGGTTGTCGTTACAATTGAGACGTAGACAATTTCCTGTAAAACTTGCCTTTGCTATGGACCATTTGCTATGCCTTTGCTATGATCAGTCTCAGGGTCAAACGCTTAAGCGTGTTGGTATTTTTTACCTAAGACTGCATTTGGACACGATCATCTTTATGTTGCCTGTTCAAGAGTTCGTGAAAGAACGGACGTGAAATTAAAAATAATAGATGGTCCTCTGCAAGGCGAGCTTAAAAATGATGGAAAGATCTACACAAGAAATCTTGTATACAAACAGATCTTTGACATGTGAATTAACATTTTATTATTTAAATCACCTTTATTTATTGAGCTAGCGGTGGCTCTTAAAAAATGTACCGACAGTGGTTTCCTTCATTGCACTCTAGAAGGGGAAACCCCGTGGGTCAGTAAGCAAAGGGGCGTCCTCGCCGCCTGCTCTGGATAATTCAGTTTAAATTAGCAGACACCTTTCCACGAATCATTTTAATTACAATTTATAATATCTATGATTATTATAATATTTATAATATGTATATGGTCATACGAAATGATCGCTGTATATATATATATACAGCGGTCATTCCGTATGACCGCCGGGCTTTCTAGTATTATATATTGACGTAAAACAAAATTAAATAGAAATATTCTGAGTTAACAACACTTGAGTCTTCATAATAATTTTTACGCGCGTCTGCAGTGGATTAAGACAGTTCAGATCAAAGAAAATTTAATTAGGAAAATTAGTGCAGAAAATCGCTACAGGCGGGAAAAATGCAATTTGCACAACTAAAATTTCGTTCATTAAATAAATTTTATTTATTGTTTCGTAACATTTCCCTTAGAAGTGACACATATTAAAGTCTAAAAATCAGAAACCAGAAAATTCAATAATATAAGTAGAGAACAGAATATATTATGAGAAACCGGAAGTTTTCCGGTTAACCCAGAAGACCTGAATGTTATGCGTGCATTCCTGAATGTTCAGCACTTTGTTTCAAATACTCTATTATGTTGCTAACTACTATAACCATTTTTTAAAATTAAAAACAAAAGCATATAAATTATATGCTCTCTTCTTTAATCAAAAAATTTTTCAGTATTTTCTTCAGAAAAAACCATTTCTGGAAATTACGCTATCTCACACTCCAAAGTAATTATTGTGAAATTTTCACAAATAGAAGTTCTGTTGATTAGCTAATGTTTTATATTTAACATATTTCACACATTTCTGAATAAAAACAATGTATACCTTGCATTAATAAATGAGACTGTTTTGTATCTCTCGTCCTACTGAGCCAATTGACGAAATTTTACTTGCTTTTTTCGTGTCTTGAAAGCCCGACTTAGGATTTATGTTAGATTTATGTATAGCATTGTTCTAACATAGGTATTCTTGCACAAAAATCGGACGTTTCTGAAATTACACTCCGATTCTTTTCCATATTACGATTGTATGTCTAAAATTATGCCAAAGTGGCATAATTTATTTTATTTATTGAGCTAGCGGTGGCTCTTAAAAATGTACCGTCAGTGATTTCCTTCATTGAACTCTACTTTAAGCAATCAAGCAAGTAGAAGGGGGAGGCAGCAAGCAAAGGGGCGTCCTCGCCGCCTGCTCTGGGTAAATTCAGTTTGAATTAGCAGACACCTTTGATAAAAAAAATAAAAGTAAAAATCAAACGAGTAGTTTTTAAAATATTAGCTCTCAAAACTTAAGTTCCTTAAAGTTAATTGAATTTGGTACATGTATATTATTATCTCTCTTTTTTTTTTTTTTTTTTTTTTTTTTGCTGGATTCCTTCTTTCACAATTAGAAATTTAGATTCAATCCAAATAAAAATTCGCAGATATTTTCTGATTTATTTTTAAAAAATTGTTAGTAATTTTTACATAATTTTCTAATTAAGATTTACAAAAATTTTACAATCACCTTTAAGTAGATGCATTTCTAGGCATATCTGCAAAAAATTACAGTTTTTATTCAAAATTTCCCACGATATACTTGAATTTATATATTGGTGTGGTGGTGGTGTATTTAATTATGGCAAAGCACTCTAGGGCTATCTGCCTAAGGGGAGGGATGCCTTTCGTGGAGGACTTTCTAAGGGAAACTGGCTCGTATACACGTTGCACATGGGGAAAACCACGAAAACGCCCATGCAGCCAGCCCGTTCGCGGGATTCGAACCTCGGACCGAACTACCAGTGTTCAGCGACTTTACCGCTCGGCCGCTGGTGGGCCTAATTTATATATTGGAGCGTTTCGAAATTTGGGATGTTTGTTATCAGCGACAATAACACCAAATGTGCTTTACTCACTTTGTTAAGATTGTTTCAAAGAATGAAACGATCGACTTTTTTTTCCGCTCATGACTTATGAGTACCTAAAGTTGTTACCCACGGGAGATTTGTAACACGAAAATTTAACATCTTTAAAAATAAACAATATATATATTATTAACTAAAAATAAACACAAGGATAATTAAGAAATCACATCATTATCAAATGGATTAACTTTAGCATATAATTCCATTAAGTTTATCATATAGGGTAAGTAAACAATATTTCGACCGAGGATGCATACAAACGGAGGAAACTAAGAAGAAAGTGGAGGAGAATGGATACAAATTTTAGTCCTACTTCTAAAAAAATCATTTCTGAATTACTTTATTTTCTAATTAATAATTGTTTTATTTCTTATAATTTTTTTACTTACTTTTTTAAATCCTTGATTTTTCTTCACAGTACAAATCCCTCTACTTAACAATGAGGAGAAAATTTGAAGAAACATTTACATAATTTAATTTTAAAGCACCATACTTGTTCTATGTTGACCTAAGCGAATGCATTATATCTGTTTTGGACACATAATTCTAATATTAGTTTCATTTCAGGTATGGCAAGATGCAGCAATACAAGTATTTTATTCTTTTAGCATAGCAGGAGGAGGAATGATAACATATGCTAGCTACAATAAATTTCATAATAACCTTATAAAGTACGTTATCTACTTTTTTTTTTTTAATTCTAACATGACTTTTGCGCAATGCTTAATAAATTCTTATTTACTTACTATACCTAAACATACAAGCTTCAAAAAAATAAATATGAGAATTCATGATTTTATTATAACATGTTTATTATATAAAATTAACAAAACTGAATGGGATTGAAAAATGTTCCGTATTTACCATTACTGCCAAAAGGACATGCTCAGTATATGAATCATTCAAAAACATTTGAATGTTAACTACACGTTTAATAACATTATGTTATTCAAAATCTTCCGGTTAGGGTGTCCAATTTTTCGTAGTAAGATATTAGAACAGCAAAGTAAGAACACTGTACTAAATTCGAACGTCTTGATGGTGAGCGGAATAGTGCGAAGAATAATTGAGCATTTAAGTTACAGCGGTTATTTTGTCGTATTGTTTATGCACGTATTTTTATACTTTTCCTAAAGTTTTTGTTAAGCAGGAATGGACATTTAAAAAAAAATGCTTGTACATAAATTTTTTCCCAGAACTCGAGCGCCGTGCTGCCAATAGTAGTATGTACTCTATTAGACAATGGCAACATTTCTGTCTTTTTACTTAGCAGAAATAGACATTGAAAGCGCAAAATGTGTGCAAAGTGCCATGCAGCTGTAACTGTAACTGATAAGATGTAACTTTTAAGCGTCATCTAGATGAGCGCATGGACCTTATAAGAAATAGACTAACCCAGTGGGCGGGGCGTGCGTCACCGACATGTCGGCAAGAAAGAGTAGGGACGATCTGGTTTACTTTAACATTGAAACCCATTGCGTTTGTATCACATAACTCTTTTAATTATTAAATGTGATACGTTGTATAGTGATGAGATTATGAAAGCCACAGTTTTCCCCAAATAGGATTTAATATATCTCATTAAAGAACTTTTTTACAGCATTTCGCGCATTTTTTTCACGCGTAATTCTTGTACAAACATCTTTACTTTGGTAAAAACTCTAAGTACAAAATTTATGAACTTAATTTTGCGTAAAAATAAAGTAAAATTAAATAAATTAAATAAGATTGATAGTACGTGATACTTTGAAATAAATAAGGTAAAATTAAACAAGATCTGACAATTTTTTTTTTTAATTTAATGAACATTTTCAGGCAGTGATTTTCCAAACTATAATAACATTCAAAACGATCATATTTATTTGATTATATGAGCATTAACTTATTAACATTAAAGTGGATTAGTTATTTTAATAATTCATAAAATTCGGAGCATAAAATTTTCTGAGCGTAATAAATGGAAAAAGAAAGATAAAATAAAATCTAGAAGCACTCAGATTTTATATTACGCCCAAAGGGAACCTTTTTTTAAAATTTGTGTGTTACCTATATTTATTGAATATCATGCTCTTCGCCCGTAAACCATATACATTTGAAAACAGCATATCTTTAGAATTTCCGCATTGGAGATAAAACTTCTATTTTCCGTACAGTGCTCGCTCTAAACTCGTTGAGTTTGTTAATCAAGAAATCGTTAAAGTTTTACAAAATATGAAATAGATTGAAACAAATTCGAAATTTGGGCGTCCAGATGTCCATGTTCGGGTGGATGATTACATTATTCAAAATTTGATGGCTCTAAATATTGTAGTTTTTGTCACAGTGCGAGAAACATACATGTATTTATGCAGATCCTTCATTATTTAATTTTTTTACATATAATACAGGGCGATAATATTTGGTAACAACAATTTGCAAGGAGACAGGGACATTTATAGTAAGACAGCGCAAAATGCCGCTTCGAAACTAACAGCCTTTCTAGGTTACCGCCGCTTTGGGCTAATAAATTAAATTAACAGTAAGTAAAAAAAATCTTATGCAGAACTAAAAATAAACTAAAAAAGTAATCACTATAAAATACAAGCAAATTAATTATTACGGTTAAATACAATTTTAATATTAGAATTAAATGTATAAAAATTTTTAAGGAGTCAAAGGTGTTTATCACTATGATGTTTTATGAAATATAACTGAAATAAAATTCCTGTTGTTACAAATTTCCTTACGGAATAGGAAAAGCTAAAAAAATATCCAGCCCTGAAAGCATGCAATAGCTTTATAATTATTTGGAACGTTAATTATGCTTCATAAATATGCTAAATTTTTAAAAATCAATCTCAATTTCAAAAATAAAAATATGTAGAAATTCTAATTTGCTAAATGAGGCGCTACAACCAGCTTTTTCTTGACAATTACACACGCTGCAATAGGCAACTACTGTTAAATTTCTGCAGGTCGTCCCTACTCCTCCGGATATGATCAAGGTGACAGCCGGCAACGCCTCAGACGAGGGGAGAAAACCCGTTTGGGTTAATGAGCTCGCAAACGAGATGTTAAGAATAACCAATGAAGACGTTTGATGTTAACATTCTTTTTTCTTTTCATTTTAATTTATTTAAATAAATCATAGTTTAGTAATAACTCGATGAGTTCTAGTGATGTTTTTTCTATACATATATATATATATATTTGTAATAATAAAATTCCATAGTCAAGAATACGCTTAAAATTCTAACTGTATGTTCTTTTCATTTTTAATGGCGAACGGTTCTCTTATTTGAAAGTACGTGGAATTAAATCCACCAGCCCCGTAGTCAAGTTGTTTTTCCCGCCTTATTCTACACGTACAGTTATAAGAATGTTCTGGAAATATTTAAAGCGAACCTGGAATGGCTGACGTCATTTCTTGGAAGCCTCCGCCTTTCCAGAGGCTTTAAAAGGACTCGCAAAAGGAATATCGGGGACTTTTCTTTAATGTCACGATGCAAGTAAACTTCAAATACAAAAAGTTATTAGTAATTCTTTTTTATTTACTCCGGAAGATCAGATTTTTGTAACTTGCTATTTTTCTCCCTGAAAAATATTAATAAATGGATCCTGTTTTTTAAAACTTATTGTCTGATAATTTAATCTACGACAAAAGCTGGTACATCAAATATGCATATAATATCTTCCTCGTGTTTAAGAATTTTGAATCATACATACATCTATTTGTGGTGTAATTTCTTAAATTTTGTTGAACTATAATTGCAGACATTACAAATTTATTCTGCGAAAAGTAATTTCTTTTCAAGCACATACGCGTTACACTCTGTTACTTTAGCTATTTCAGGATCATCTTGAGTTCTGGCTTGCTTCGTAACCATACTAACGATAGCTCTGACAAGAGGTCGAGTTCTCTAAATATTTCCCCCACCCCCCCACTTTATTCCAGTTTACCGTCTTTTGTTTCATGAAAAGGACACCATTGAATGATGGAAGTACTTTCTTAATGGTTGAGAAATAAAATTTATAACCTTTTTTTTTTTTTTTTTCTTTTCCTGGCAAGAATAAAACTTTTACGAGTAATAAAAATGCGTAACTTATTTCTTTTAGCACCTTGTAAATCGGAGCAAATAAATATTTGAATTCACTGAATGCGATTCATTTCGAAGTTCTTTTAAGATTTTTTACACTCTGTTACTTTAGCTATTTCAGGATCATCTTGAGTTCTGGCTTGCTTCGTAACCATACTAACGATAGCTCTGACAAGAGGTCGAGTTCTCTAAATATTTCCCCCACCCCCCCACTTTATTCCAGTTTACCGTCTTTTGTTTCATGAAAAGGACACCAATGAATGATGGAAGTACTTTCTTAAATGAGGTTGAGAAAATAAAATTTATAAACCTTTTTTTTTTTTTTTTTTTCTTTTCCTGTGCAAGAAATAAAACTTTTACGAGTAAGTAAAAATGCGTAACTTATTTCTTTTAAGCACCTTGTAAAATCGGAGCAAATAAATCTTTGTGAAAATTCATTGCTGAATGCTTTACTCATATTTATATATATATTCATTTTGCCATTCATTTTGCGCGATTTTACGAAGTTTTAAAATTAATTCCCTTATATATAATTTTTTTAAATTTTATTTTCAGAGATGTATTAATCATAGGTATCGGAGACATGCTGACTAGTTTATTTAGCGGTTTGGTTGTCTTTTCTATGCTGGGATTTATGGCCGTCCAACTTCAGAAATCAGTACATGATGTTGTCAGTTCTGGTGAGTATACTAAGTAGTTTACTAAAACTGGGTTTTAAAAATACGAATTTTGTTATTTTTCAAAATAAGAGAAGCGTTATTCTAGCCAAATAAAACTTTCTATATATAGTTCAAAAACATACAGAACACTGAACCTTCTCTGATAAGCATATATTGCGTTTAAGAGTACGCAATTAACAATGTATAACTTTATGAAAGTCTAATTCTACAAATAATTTTGACATGGTATTTATTTCAAATTTTTCATGTTTAATCGAAATGATTTTTGGTAACTTATTGAATAGTAAATAACTGTTTGTAATTTAATTTTCCTAAAAGTAGTGAACTCGGTTTATATCAAGGTTTCACAAACTTCTTTCATTCACGAAGTGTCAGTTCGAGTGACACTGCAGTTTGTTAAATGATATTTTAATAAACAAAAGTCCTTTCAAATATCATTTTATATTCGTTATAAGAGAATTAAATCTGAAAAAAAAAAAATGATCAGTGGCTGTCAGGCATTTTCCATAATAAATTTGCAACAACACTTAGAAAAAATTCTATTTAATTAATCATTCGTAAAAAATTTTAATAATAAGTTTTTATTTCACCTCTTAGTAGATTGCTTTGATACTACTTTTATGCCAGTTTTAACAAGAATTTTAACTTGCTCTCTCCCACCAGAACGGTAGAATCACAGAACGTTGGTAGTTGGATCTGGGATCGAATCGCGGAGAACGGGATGGATGCATGGTCCGTTTTCGCAGTTTTCCGCATGTGCAATGTAGATATGAGCCAGTTTCCCTTAAAAAGTCCTCCACGAAGGCATTTCTCCCCATAGGCCGATAACCGTCGAGTTTCTTTGCCTTAGTTAATTAACTTTACTGGCGCCTCCAATAACCCCGATTAGGAACTGCCAGACATACATATCCTCATGGAAGACACCAATTTTAGTGAACTGCAAGGATTAAAAGGAGCTGTAGTTTCTCAATTTATCACATAATCCTGAATGAAATGATTAGTAAAATTGTAAATAAACTTGGTCCCTCTGAGTGAGCAATAAAGCTGAAAGTCTTCATGACGGCACAGCTACTCACCCAGTGGTCTCCGGTCTCCTGATAAAAGGTATTTCTAGATCACTAAAAATAAAATTTCTTTACCAAAAAAATCTGATCTGGACACCACATGATATCCTTGTACGCCTTATTAAATTACATACATTTTTTGCTGCATTTCGATTAAACTTATTTCATTAGAGATAGAGTTCTCATTCAATTAATTCGGCCCACCAGCGGCCGAGCGGTAAAGTCGCTGAACACTGGTAGTTCGGTCCGAGGTTCGAATCCCGCGAACGGGCTGGCTGCATGGGCGTTTTCGTGGTTTTCCCCATGTGTAACGTGTATACGAGCCAGTTTCCCTTAGAAAGTCCTCCACGAAGGCGTCCCTCCCCTTAGGCAGATAGCCCTCGAGGCTTTGCCATAATCACACACACATTCAATTAATTCAGTTCTCACTTCGCGGTAAGGCGAAAATACATAAAAACTCAAAATATCTCCATTAAAAAATGAAAAACATAAAACACCGAATACAGTTAAAACAATTAAAAAAGAATTTTCACAATTAAAATTTGAGTTTCTACGCAAAAACAAGTAATTCGACCAGCGGACAAGAAGGCAGATTTTCTCGGTGCACAAAACCGAAAATTTAGCTTTGATCCCACTCGGCAAAAAAACACTGAAACTGCAGAAACTGATTTAATTCACTATTCTGCTAAGTTTTAAATATAAACAAATATGTCTGCTCTGTTAGGCTTAGTCGTACTTAAACAAATTTTAAATTACTAATTTAGATAATCATAAATTTTAAATTGTTGACAATTCTACAGCTATTGCATGCAGATTAACTAAAAGCATAAAAAAAGGGGAGAGGAGAGAGAAAAGAAAAAGATGAGATAACAGAGGGAATGCTATTTTATATTAACGCTAAAAGTCTTGAGATAAAAATATCTCGGCAGTAATACTTGCATATCTTAGAAGCAGATATGTGTAATCATCGCAAGAAAATTTTGCAAACTTCATAATTCATTTGAGATGAAAAATAAGGTATTCATTAATACTTGTCTTTATATTACTAACACTTTAGTATTTCAGGTACTGGTCTCGCATTCATTGCATACCCTGATGCCATCACTCGAATGCCAGTGGCTACATTGTGGGCACTGCTATTCTTTTTCATGCTCTTTCTGCTAGGAATAGACAGCCAGGTAAGAAATACCTAAATTTTAGGAAAACGTTTATATGCAACTACATATGAATAGGTGTTTAATAGAAGCTGCGTGCTTAAGAAATATTTCCTTTTCAGTTTGCAACGGTGGAAACTATTATTACGTTCGTCTTTGACCAATTTCCTTCCACAAGAGCCAGAAAACCCATTGTTGTATGCGTAGTAGCCACCATGTTGTTTCTTCTGGGGCTGCCCTTGACTGCCAACGTAAGTTTTTAATTTGCAAACAATTTAATTTTTTCGCATGAAATATTTAGATTTCTTTACAGATGGATTGGAAGGAGTCACTATAATGAAATATGTCCGGTTCTTACGTTTTATCACAAATACCTTAGTAGAAGTCGCCAAATTTTCAGAATGTCCCAAATTATGGTAACCGCGCGCATAATCTTTCTTCTGGCAACCATGCTTATAACAGTTGTTCAGTCAGGCCTTGCTCCTTTTGGCACTTCTCTTCTTCCCACTTTCTCCGTTTTCTCATCTGAGATTTTCTCCTCGTCCTGATTTCAAGTGCCCTTGGGCTTTAATTCTGGAACCGGCAACATTGCTCTTCGCAATAGCTTTTATAATAGCAATTATAGAGTCTGAGTCTTCGCAATAGCAATTATAGAGTCTAACACCACCATTTTCGTATGCGTTCTTTTTTGTTGCATTCCACGTTCCAGCAGTTTTTATAAAAAAAACGCAGTATTTTTTGGCCTTATACTTAGTTTTAAAATATGAATTTGTGGAATTGCCAGGAACTGAAGAACTGCGGTAAATTTTTTGTAGAATTTTGCTAAATATTTTCTAAAGGGAACAACAAGGAAATGCGTTTCCTAGACAACCGCCGATAGGTTTTTCACGACTCCGGGTCTCAGCAATGCTCTGATGTTTTTTTCATATCTTCCGCAATTCTGAATTGCGGAAGATATAAAAAAACATCAGAGAATCGCCAGGAAATTTCAAGTTGGTGCCGATCCTTCCTGGCGCCTACCTTGGCGTCAAAGAAGAGACGATTCGGCGTAAAAAAGTCGTCAAATAGCGCCAAGGTGGTGGCTTTTATACGTAAGTACCATATATCCAATTCAGTTAACATGCAAATAGTTTTATAGCTTTTGTCTTATGGCTGCTAGCACATTATTTGTTTAAGTAGCGTAAATGGTTAATAAATCTGAAAGTTTACTATTGCTGACCGAAGAATGCAAAACCATTTCTAATTTAAAATGGATTACTTAAAAAGATTCAGATTTTTTTGCGCATGTTTTCGAATTATTTCCCAAAAGGTTTGAAATTCTGCGGTGACAAACTGCTTATTTCGCAAAAGATCCCATTTTCTGTAATTCCGGTATAGGTGAACCTGCGAAATGATTTAAGAATTGAAATTCGAGTCTTGGCTTAGCCGCATACCTGCAAGTTTGCAAAAATGGGTATTTGTATTCTAACTGAACGCAAATGATATTGTAAATCTTGCAGTTCGTTCAAGATTTCTGAAAATGGAAGTCAATCGGTCTTTAAAAAAATGCCAAATCTAAAAAATCGGCCTTTCGATAATCTTATCAAATAAGAAGTAAAATTATTTAACTGGACTAAATTATTTTATAAATAACGAATAACCATTGCTTCGTATAAAATTGATTACTTTGAATTTTTAGGTAAGAAAATTCGCGGTCTCTCTTCTTCTAACGAAGCAGCTATAAACGATTTGAATGAAATATAATCACTGGAATTCTGTTTTTTTATATTTGATAAAGAAAAGACTATATTTCCTTATTCTTAACCATTATGAAACTATTTGCGGCCATAAAGTATCTGCTAATTTAATGATCAGAGTATCCACTAACTTAATATGTATACTTCACAAGTATCCACTAATGCAATAATAATTGCAAGGAACAATTTTTAGAAATATTTATCGGAAATAAAAAAGCAATAACTAAAATTCGTATTAATAACAATTGAAAGATAAATTTAGGGTATTCAAAACGTCACTACATCTAGTGGTTAAAATTGCATAATAAATTTCTCCTTCTCTCCCAAATCAGTTGCTACATTTGAATACTTTTGTACTGATTATTGATACTGATGATTTTATGATTTCGTTTGAACATTTTTTCAGAAATTTTAGGGTACTACGTTATCAATCAGCAACATTTACCTACCAAGCATTCCCTCTTTAAATTAGTACAAAATTAGTTTCAAAAATCAAGAGTTCGCATACCCTTAAGGCACACCCCATTTTTTAAGGACTTTTCCACCAGTAATGCAATGAATTTATCTTCTAGCTAATGAATTGTGAATTCTTCCCTTAGAAAGTTCTCCACGAAGGCATCCCCCTTAGGCAGACAGCCTTCGAGACTTTGCCTTAATCACATAAGCATGATCTTTCTGATATATTAGTATGGGGAAGGATTGATTATAAGCATAACTACAACTCATGAAATGAAACTAGGATTTATTTATTTACATTAGAATGAAAAGAAAAATAAAAAAAAAAAAAAAATAATCGTCAAAACATTTTGGATACGTCTATCCTCACTATCGTTCACGTCTCATCTCATCTGACTAGATGGCGCTCTTACATAATCTTAGTTACAGTTACAGTTTCCACATTAGTGGCAGAGTCCTTACAAAATGGGGCGCAGTTTAAGAGCGTGCGAACCCTGTAAATTTTGTTCGAAAAAATTGTCCCAAAATAAGTGTTACATTTGTGGAAAGTAAAAACTAAGAATGAATATACTAAGTTGCGATAATTTTAATCGCAAGTAAAACAATTTTAATTTATATATCATTTTACTGGTGTCGATCTACTAAACTGCATCGAAAGTTATTTATAACTCCACCTACTTGAAATACAGCAAGTAATTTGGGACGGAGGGAGTATATCTTAACGTTATTCAAATGTAAATCTTTGCAATAAGTCGTACACAGAACTGCGTTTTCTATTTCTGTAAACAGAAATTTTCATCTTTCTTTTCAAGCTATGGGCTAATCATATCAAGCTTTTTAGATTTGATCATGACCGAATTTAACTTACAGATCAAAAGATAGATAACAATATCAAAAGATATAGAAAGATATCAAAAAATACATGTTTCAGACAAACTATATCAGTAATAAAAACCTGAGTTTCTTCTCTACGGCTTGTTCCGAGTTGGTATTTAAGGCTGCGTTCATACGGCGGCGTAAGGCGTAGTCATAAGGTCATAAAATACGGGAATTCCGTTCACACTTGCGAGAACGGCGTGTAAGCCGTGGCCAATGAGAGAAGCTAAATTTGCACCATGTGTGGATATGTCTACAATTTTCTTGCGCTGTTCTCCTGCTCGATTGACTTCCCGCGTTCGCTCTGCTTGTTTTGTGACAGCGAAATCTTCTGTAGAAAGCCGCTTCGTTTTAGCTTCGCTTTCATTGGTCGACGCTTATCCCAAACTTGGCGTAAAGTTGAAAACTGTGAACCCTATGCCACGAGTTCTAAACCAGATTTTGGGACGTAGCACAGACTGGTTGCCTTGGCAACGGAGCTCGCCTTTAACCCATCAACGAGCCCGCCTCTCGGAACGAAATGCTTCGAAAACGGTCGCGTTGTCAGACAACAAACCCCTCCAAAAAAAAAATCGCTTTCGTTTTCTGAAATCTCTCTAAGATGGCCCAGCCTAAGGCAGTATGTTTGCTTCCCCTTAGTGTGATGGATAAGCCATAAAATTGCCTCCCCGCTATTGAATGCCAAGAAGAGTTGTTGCGTTTAGTTTCGTCTCCCTCCTCTTTCTTTGTACTAGTAGCCTGTAGACTTGTTTCTTTTAACATGTGACGGCCGAATTTTCCGAAATCTTTTTAGAATTTTAGCTTCCAAGCTTGTGAACATTCAATATTCGACATGTTTATTGGGCAGTATTTTAAGAAAAGATCATTATTTATTTTGTTACACAATTTTTTACTATTTACTTATCTATTTATTTAGTTTTAGTAAACCAATTTATTTTGGGAAATTAAATTTTAATCCATTCTTTTACCGACTCAGTTTTTCATCACATTATAAGTCCATACATATTTAGGATGAGAGTACAATATTTATCAGAAATTTTTGGAAAAATTTCGCATATGCATTTATATTTAGCGTTGAATTTTTTCCACAAGTGTTCGTTTACTGTCGAGCTCATCTTCGTCTTTTCAGCGTGGAATTGGCAAGCATAATCTTCCTAATGTTTTTCGGGATTTTAAAGCAATTTCTAGAATTTGGCGGTTTTCTAAAAATATTTTGCTAAGTTTAGCTATTATACAGTTGCTAGCAATGTGGAATTTAAAACCAAAATGTATTCCTTCATTGATTTGAGAGATGGCATTTCGAATTTAAGCGGAAGTTTAAATGAATTTGATACAATCTTACCCCAGACCAGAAAGAAGTATTTCTCTGTGTTGGATGGATTTTCTTACTTTTCCGCATTTTATAGATTAAATGCATAAAGCAGACACTCACAAATAGAATTTAAATAAATATTTAAATAATTTCTCTTTTCATTTTTAAAATTTGTCATTATTAGCACCTCCCGCAGTTTTATGCAATCATAGGATTTTCTGAATTCTATTAGGTCGTTAACAAATTTCAAGGCCTAATAGAAAAGTCATAATATGGAAAGACTATGTCTTGAGTACCAATAGCCAAGTATTTGTAATTAAATAAAATAATATGAATACCAGCCGCTTTTTATTATTTTTTAGTCATATAACAAAAGATAAACAAGAATACTATTACATCTAAGAATTATTTAGTAAATTATTTTGCTAATGTTTTATGAATGAGGAAACACGGTTAAAAATGTTTAATGATTGAATCACCGTTAAAAATCAAACAAACCCCAAAAATTCCTTTCTCCCATAACTTCGTAAAATGTTTTGATTAAATATAATTTGAATGAGTTTTCCAATTCTGTTTTGAGTGATATAAATATTATTAAATTAGGATATAAATATTAGGATATAAATTATTATTAGTAATAATTTTTGTATTATAAACTTAGCAGAATATCGTTTATCGTTTAAAAATTATATCTAAAGAATTAAATTTTGAAAAAGAATAAAAAATATATTAACTTTCCATTTTCCTCTATGCATCATTATATAAAAAAGGATCTGGCTAGGGAATTTACGACTTGTATATGAACTAAAAATTGGTATCTTGCAAAATTGTCAGAGCATAAAAAGCTACTTCTGTGATATTAGTGTATTAA